CATGTAGTTTTAGAGTAAAACATGTTTTGGAAAAATTACATTTAATATAAAATTTAATACAAAAAACTTCTTGTCTGTCTTTTTTTTTTTTCACTTAAACACTAATCTGCCAAGTGCCTTCTTTAAAAAGAGACCAAAATTAAGTCTGTACTCCAAAGCATTTAAGATTTGCAACAGTAAATTTGATTTTCAGGCCTATGCTCAAAAAGTGGTTAACAGGCAATAAATGGATCATAATTATTCCATAAATATAATTTAGCACCATAGAATTCCCTAAAAATAGAAGAATAGTTGAGTAATTATTAATAAGTAATTTTGCCTCTCAAGTAATTGTTTCGTGATTTAAGAATGTTTCGATATTTTTACTGGAAAACCAGATAAAAATAGCTGAGAATGAAAATTTGATTTTTTTGCAGTGCAAATACCAAATCATGAGTCTTAGAACTTTCATCAATAATTTGAAACTAAAAATTAATTCATGCACAAAGTGTCACATACACACTAAGATACTTAACATTGAATAATATTATTGATTTGATGGCACTGACACTATCGTATGAAAACAAAACTTGAACGGAATTGAGCTGGATGATAAAACTATTGTCATCTCTAGAGCTTCTTTATAGCTTAATCAAATTTGTTTCATAATTGTTGAACTCCGCAACAATAAAATGTTATTAAACTGAACTGAATCAACATTGAACTGAGCTGAAGAACAACACTATTGCATTCTGTAGAGCTGCTTTATAGTTGAATTGAGTTTGTTTAATAACTAATGACATTTGCATTGACACTGATGAACTAAATTACTGTAAAGCTGCTTTGAAACAATATGTATTGCATAAAGTGCTGTATACATAAATATGACTTCACCCTAGCAACTGCATAGCAACACCCTTGCAATCTCTTGGCATCATGGGAATGGATTGCATGGACAAGCACCACTCACTTATTCCTTAGAAAATCTTGTTAATGTTTCTAATATAAATAACCCCCTTGAATTCTGCCCTTTCTGTTACTATTCCAAGGTTTTTTTTGTTTTTTTTTCACGGTACCCACTTAGCACAGAGAACTGAAATGTGCGATGAGAGAATGAGAGAATGCAGCGCTGCACGTACACACACCTGCTGTCAGACCCGCATACTAACACCCAAACACTCTAAAAATACACTTCATGGCATCTCAGCAGCACAGCCTGACCTTCAAAAAATACTTTTTTATATTTAAAACCTGTTGTTTTAAATCTGAGGTAAGATTATAATTGGGTTCATAGAACGGCAGACAGGTCACCGTATCAACACTCAGAAGGCACATACTCTGAACGTTTTTAGAGAAATTAAAACTGGTCGCACGACAACAATTATATGCACTCGCACAAATGCTCCCAAATATATTTTGAGGTCGCACAGATTAAATTTCGGGAGCATATGCGACCAAAATGGTCGCAATTTCGAGCCTTGGGTTGTTGACAAATAACATTTTATTCAGCACTCTATTTTAGGTGCTGAAACTGATCACAGTTTCTTTTTTCCATAATTTCTAGTCACCTTTTGGTGACAACCTATCAAAATTCTGGACACATTTGCAATAAGAAAAATTCTTAAAATAGCTTTAGATGAAATATAGCATGTCACACTGACAGCCCAAAAGTCCATGCACTGCAAAAAAAAAAAGATTTTCCTCCGAATTTTTGTCACTTTCCAGTACAAATATCTAAACATTCTTAAATCAAGATACATTCACTTGAGAAGTAAAATTACTTAAGATATTAAGTCACTTTTGATCAAAAGGATGTCACTTTATGCTTAAATCAAGAATATCTGCCAATGGGGTCAGAAAACATAAATTTGATTTTCTGACCTCACTGGCAGATTTTTTTATTATTATTCTTGTTCAACGTACAGTCACTTAATTTTGACACATTTTTCAGAAAACAAGACTGTTCTTTTTTTGCTTCTCAAGTACTTGTATCTTAATTTAACCCTCTGGTGCTGCTCACATGGCAGTCAGAAACGACTGAAACATTTTTATGTCAATGAATGTACTATATTTTAGTTTGATAATGTTTCTCATTTAAAGTTTTGTATTTTTAAAGGATTTTATGGCACTAAAAGCAATCCATTTATTACCTGTTAACCACTTTTTGAGCACAGACCTGAAAATAAAATTTCCAGCTAAACCTGTCAAATCTTGAATGCTTTGGAGCAGAGGCTTAAGTTTGGTCTCTTTTTAAAGAAGATACTTGGCAGATTTTTAAAAAAAAATATAGAAGTTTATTTTTATTATGAAAAATGCACCAATAGTATATGATATGAAATATATATTTTTCAAAACATGTTTTACTCTAAAACTGTGAGAATATCAAAGCCATAAATTTAAACAAGTTGTGCCAAATTTGAGGTTGATATAATATCAAATATTGAGCTTTCAGTAAGGTTTTGTTTTGGGCGCAGTACCAAACATTTCCACCTGATGAAATTCACTTCCCATTTACACTAATGAGCTTACTGCATTATGACCACCTAATATATCTAATAACCTGTAGGACCTCATTTGTGACCCTGGAGCACAGAACCAGTCATAAGTCGCACAGCTATATTTGTAGCAATAGCCAACAGTTTTTTTTCTTTTATGCCAAAAATCATTAGGATATTAATTAAAGACCATGTTCCATGAAGATATTTTGTAAATTTCCTACTGTAAATATATCAAAACTCATTTTTTTATTAGTAACATGCAATGCTAAGGACTTCATTTAGACAACAACAAAGGCAATTTTCTCAATATTTAGATTTTTTTTGCACCCTCAGATTCCAGATTTTCAAATAGTTGTATCTCGGCCAAATATTGTCCAATCCTAACAGACCATATAGAAAGCTTTCAGATGATGTATAAATCTCAATTTCAAAAAATTGACCCTTATGACTGGGTTTATGGTCCAGGGTCACATTTAGCCCGCAAAACCGCATCCACGCTGCAAGGCATTGATTCACCGAGGTGTCAGTAGGTCTCCTGGGTTATCTGGTACCATAATGTCAACAGCAGGTCCTCCAGTTCCTGTAAATTGTGGGGCTGTGGTGATAGCGTGAACCCACTTCTCAATTGGGTTCATGTCATGTTCCTCGAACCTCTCCTTGACGATTCTGGCAGCATTATCCTGCTGGTAATGGCTATCACCGGCAAGGAACACAGTTGCCGCGAATCGGTCCACCTGGTCTGCAACGTTCAGATACCTGACAGCTGTCAGGGATTGTGTTGTTGGGATAATGGGGCCTAAAGTGTCCCAAGAAAACATCGCCCACAAAATAACACCACCTGTGTCTGCCTCACAATGCATCCAGGCGCCATAGCCTCTGTTGGTAATCAGCATATCTGCGCTCAGCCATTGACGTGATGCACCAGGAATCTTGATTCGTCACACCAGGCCACTTTCTTCCAATCATCCATGGTCCAGTCTCAATGATCTTGGGCCCCATTTCATGAGTTGTTGGTGACTGTGTGCAGTTAGCATGGGGATGGTCAGCTACGCAGAGGGCTGAGATGAATTGTGTGCTGTGACACATTGCCCTGCTGTTGTAGCTGCTGGTGATTTGTCGCACTGTGGCCCAACAGTCGCTGTGAACAATGGCTGGATGATGGTTCGTCGTTTGGCTATTCATGCACCACTTTTGATACATACTCAATATAGCAGCACATGAATAACCTACAAGGTGTGCCGTTTCCAAGATCGAAGTTTCGAGGTGCCATGCCATCACAATTTTTCCTTTATTAAACTCTGATAAATTGGCAGCTTGAATCAAGTCCAAGTATTTTACTTTGTATGTGTGTGTGTGTGTGTGTGAGAGTGAGTGTTTTACATAGCAAGTGCCAAAACCTTTACCAAGTTTCATACCATTCCGATGAATAAAAAAATAAAAACATAAATAAAATTACATTTTTTAATCAAAAATGACCAAACAGCACCAGAGGGTTATAAATGTTCAGATATTTGTACTGGAAAACAAGAAAAAAATACTGAGATAAAACATCATTTTTGCAGTCTGCTGGTTGTTTTACCTTCAGTTACCTTTGGAAAAGGAATTAAATCTGGCTTTTTACACTAAATCCAGGCAGTGTTGAGTCTCATGTGTATTAGAGGATGCATGTTGGGTTATTCATTGTTGTCTCTGGAGTCTATAAAGTCCTTCAGTGTTATTCTCCTGCTGAGGCGTTGAGTGATATCTCCCCCACCGCACTCACATCCAATCCCAGAACTGATGTTCACCAAAGGCAAGAAACAGTGCAGACATCAGCAGGGCGATTTGTTAGATTGAACAAGAGTTTCTGGGGCGTGTATTGATTGTGTAACCTTCATTTATGGAGCTGTGCTTTCTCAAGGCCTGACTGATGAAGCTGCTTCTTGATGCCACACTTGGAGGTAACCTAAGGACGAAGTGGCCTGAACTGATCTACCAAAAGGCTAAAAGCTTGTTAATAAGCTCATTCACATACAAACTGTAAAAAGCAAACAAAAAAGTACTTGTCGACAGCGATGAGAATCAGTGTTGTCAAAAACACAAAACAAAAATTAGAAAATGTGGTGAAAAAATTTGAGGTCATTTTTGTTCCCATGAGATTCACCCAGACAGAGATGAGGTGTACAGGGAACTTCTGCAGTAATGAGTGAGGTGGCAGTCAACAGAATCCAGAGACCGACCCGAAACGGTCTTAAGTTACGACACATTTCATAATACGGCAGACGAGGCAGCGTTTAAGGCTAAATCATTTCCAGATGTCTTGAGGAAATAAGGATGAGGGGTTTAAATACCTCGGCTCTAGCCAGGTAATGTGTGTTAATGAACAGCAGAAGGTTTATTAAGACCTAATTGGGGATTCCACTGAAATGATTGACGTCAGATGCAGCGCCACATGGTACTGTTCGTCGTGGCTACCGGTTTTTCACACTATAGTGTGAATAGTTCTCATATGAATAAAAGTGTTTGTGTTTCCTGTTTCTGCAGATATAGATGAGTGTTCATTTGACCGGGCATGTGACCACACATGTGTGAACTCACCTGGAAGTTTCCAGTGCTACTGCCACAAAGGTTACGTCATCTACGGCGTGGCTCACTGTGGAGGTAAGCCATGCATTATGGGAGTTTCTGTTTTACAAGAACAATGTCCATTTCCTCTGCAGTAAAGAAACGTCTAATAGAAAACTCATGTTGGTAAACCCACTAGCTCTTCTTGGTAGGACCTTGGGCAAACACATCCAATGAAAACTGAGACTTTCCTATATAAATGCTCTCCAGTTTCCTCTGGCAGCAATCGGGACCCTAAACAAATCTGTAAAGGTTATTCTGAGGTTTGTATCCACCTTATTTTGCAACCAAGCTATTTTCGTTTGAATGTGCGAGACTTCCGATTCATTAGCCGCTATAGAAGCACAGTAAACGGTACAAGCTAGTGTGTTTATGATTATGATAATAGTTTGCAATATAAAGCAGCATAACAGACTGTTTTTGTAAAGGTAAAATAACTAGAAGTGAATGACAGTGGAAGCCTTGCACATTAAAGTTACAAATGGGCTTGCGCTCTAATGTTATGGTGGATAAGGCACAAGCTGTAACCCATGTTTCAGGCATATCTTTGAAATAATGGGTAGTTGTTACATTTGGATGTCCGGGAAAGTCTTATGAAAGTCTTGTAATAATATAATAAATTTCAGCTAAACCCAGTGCTAAAAGCCATGGTTATCACATCAGTCAGATGGTTTCTTCCCGTCTAAGTGGGCGGCTCTCAGCCAGAATAAGCTGCATCAGTGAACCTTGTTTCAGGGCTGATTGAGCAGATGAGGACTCATTTAGTGATTAACTATTGTTGAGAGGACCAGAAATAATGAATGTATCTCTATGCCCGTTAGCACTAAGATAACACCCAAATTTATGGAGTTCTCGCTTTTGTTTCCAAAGAATGGTCATCGGTTTCCCATTGATAGCTTATCTGCCGGGAAATAGAAGTTAAAGCCCCTGATATACTCAGAGCGAAGTTCTTTTTTGTTCTTTGCTCAGGGATAAAAATAAGTTTGAAATACCTTTGCATTGGTATACTTTTACAACTTCAATTTCTGCTATAAAGCAGCTCTCCAGCGTGTTCATGTGTTTACTTGCGGCTGACCTCGATGGACTAACCAGAAGAAATGAACCGGAGAAGATTTCCAGAGCACAACATCATCAGCGTGGACCAATGGTGGTTTGATGGCGTTTACCATTCGCCAAACTGCTTTGAACTCCTGAAACAAACTTAGTTTTGACTTGATTTCGTTCAAAATGATGTCACACCAGTTTGTTCTTCAGTTGTGCTTGAAGTATATCAGGGCCTTAAAGCTGCAAAAGGCCTTGGGTCAGAATTGATTGTTGCAGAGTTTACAGTCCAAGAACATAAACTCTTTGGTTTAGGTCTTTCTCCATTCAAGTAGATTGGAGCTAGACTTGCACGACTTGAAAGCAGCTGCCTGAGGGTGTCATCAAGTGGACTGACTTGCCAGGAAGGGGACTTTGACCAAAGTCTGTATCTACAAGAGCTTAACAGAAGTGCCAATGTAACATTGGTTTTCTCTTCCCCCGTCCCCTTCCTCGCTCTTTAGATTAATGAAGGCTCGAGATCCAGACAGGGAAAGGAAATGTGAAAGTCAAAGGTTTAGCCTGGAGCCGGTTCAAATCGGATGGGGAACAAAAGAACGACAAAGAGAAGGAAAACCAGACTAGCCTAGCAAGCGAGCTCTGTATTCCTTAAAGAAACATTAAAAAACCCTGCTCTCCCACTTTTCAGAAAATTAATTTGTTGAAACACACTTTTTCTTTGTCTCTGTTTTTAATCCATTCAATGATACTACCTCCGTTTTATCTCTTGTTTGGCTTTGGTTTTCTGTTTTTAAATTTTTTCCTCTGCTGGTTTTGTTCCAGTGTTGGGGAGTAACTAGCTAAAAGTACTGATGATGCTAACCTGTCTAATTTGTTAACTTAGCTTTTAGTCCATGTTAGATTCACTTGTCACAATGGAAATGGAAGGTTGAGTTGAGTGAATTGCATTGTTGGATGAAGTGGAGGTTGCTCTGCATACAGTAAATTTTCATCAGTTGAATGTCCATATTTATGTCCTTTTATAGCAAAGATAAATCATTTATAATTGTCTGCTTTGTTTTATAGATATTGATGAGTGCAGCATTAATCAGGGTGGCTGTAAATTCGGATGCGTGAACACTCTGGGCAGTTACGAGTGTACCTGCGCTCCTGGTTACAAACTGCACTGGAACAGGAAGGACTGTGTCGGTATGTGGACAAGAGTGCCACCTAGAGGCCATTCAGATGCAACTAAAATCTTATGGTTCAAATGCAAATGCCAAATACTGCAGATTAATTCCTTATTTTATAAATTATAGATTTGTATTAGTTGATTTTCTTTGAGATCCAATCACTTTTGATGCATATTAACATAATTCAGTGTACTTGCTTGGAGTCAAACTTACCATTTCTGCACAGAGATCGTGAAATGTACATCCAGTCTGGTGGCCCCCAAAGCCACCCTTACTTGCAGTAAAATGGGGAAAAAAGAGAGCTGCTCTCTCACGTGTGCATCCAAAGCACATTACCTATCAGGTACAAACCAATACCCCCCAAATTACTTCATTTAACAAGCTTGTGCAGTCAACTCTAATGCTGGTGATCAATTTTCATTTTACGTTTCACAGAATCAGACAACAGCTATTCTGTCAGCTGTGGAATACCCATTCTACGAGGTAAATCTCAGAGCAGATTAAATGCAAGCAGCATCCAGAGCTGCATAGGTAAGACCATACATACATCCCAACATGTAGAATTTGAAAGCAGTTGAATCTTGGCAAGTAATTTTTTTTTTTCACAAGAAGGGTATTCAAGTCATCACTGAGTAGGTCAGTCAAGACTTGACTTGAATCTTGGCGACTATTGGTGTGCACTTTCCACAAATAGGGTAGACTTTGATGGCTAATTTGTATTTTGTATTTTACCATTATAGGTTCCCATACAGGTAATCGCATTAGAGGTAATCTCATTTTTGTTGTGAGATATGTTACAGAAACCATTAAGCATATTAACTATAAACCAACATTTGGACATAAACTAGCAAACTTGTTACCCATTTTAGCATTGTGTTTATTATTTATCATAATTTATTTATCAAAGTTTTAGTATGATTCCACATATAAACTAATAGAAAATCAAACAGATCATATATTATTAGGGCCCAAGCCACTAAGGTGCAGGGCCCTATTGATCCCCTAAGGATTATTATTTTTTATTATTTACTTTTTTATTTTTTTTATTTCGACTATCCAGGGTTTTTTGGGGGCCTTAACATGCTTAAAAACTCTTGCGTGGCACAGGGACTCTACGGCGCCCCCTGGAACACAGTCAAAAAAATTTATGTATATCTCACACATACTTGCACATATTCATATGAAACTCGGTACACATATAGAACTCATTGAGCCGAACAACTTTCGCACTGCATGTTATAGGCTCCGCCCAACAGGAAGTTGGCTATTCAGGGCTGTGTAAAAAGCTCATGCTGTGGAATTCACGCTGCATGTCATAGGCTCCGCCCAACAGGAAGTTGGCTATTCAGGGCTGTGTAAAAAGCTCATGCTGTGGAATTTGATATACTCGTCATAGGTTTTTTACCCGATTGCCACCAAACTCAGTGAACATGATCTCAAGACATTGGGGATGCTAAATTGCCAAGAGAATTTTGA